GAATGAATGAATGAATGAATGAATGAATGAATGAATGAATGAATGAATGAATGAATACAGAGGCAGGATGGAGAAAATTGTTCTTAGCATAAAAACTTAGCTGGCAAGATTTGCTTCACAGGCATTGGAAGTAGACCCACTGCACTTTCTATTCCAAGTGCAAGCCCTGTAGTCTCTGTATTGCCATCCTCCCTATATTGTTTCAAGGAAACACCTTGGTTTCTTTCCTTAAACCAGTGTTTCTTAATCACAACAATTTTTAAGATGTGTGGACTTCAATTCCCAGAATTCTCCAACCAGCATGGGAAATTCTGAGAGTTGAAGTTCACACATTTTAAAGTTGCTGAGATTAAGAAACATTGCCTTAAACTTTCTACTGCCTTTCCCTTTTGAATGGTTTGTAAAGATTAGTAATATGGACAGTTCATAGTATAAACTGTTCAAGAGGGAGAGGCACTGGAAGGTTTAAGCAGTATTTTCTAATCTCTGTCCTCAGTCAAAAAAAAAAGGAAGTAAATATAAACAATTAAAAATGCTATAATCCAAACAGACTGATAAAGATTATACGTGCCCGTAAAAGTAAACTAATTTAAGGGCCAGGCATCCTTGAAACAAAACTGCTTTGGCTTGTTTATGAAACACCAGGAAGGTTTAGGCCACCATACCTCTGCTGGGAAAAGTATTCCAAAACGGGGGCCACATCTGAGAATACACTATTCAAACTGAATTAAATATGAGTTAAAATATACTCCTATGCCCATTTGGTAATACATTCCTCTGTGCTCAGTACAACTTATTGTGGGGGAGGTGATTTATTGGATTATCCTAGAAGTGCCCTCCATCTCAAAAGGATCACTATAAAAATTCAGATAAGATTGCATTATAACAATGCAACCTAACCCCATTTGAGTTCTTTGAAATTATTGGTTTGGGCTTGGTTAGCCCTTGTGTTGCCCATAAAACGCAGGCACCCAAGTTGGCATGGAGCTGGAAAGAACCTAGTCCCTGAATTTGAAAGAGAAATACCCAATACCTTTGCAAAGTGGCTCTTTTGCTCCCCTCCCCGACAATATGAACCACAAGTACTTCAGGCAAAGCAAAAAGCATTTATTAAGGTGGGTCAAGTCTTTATATAGGATACAGAAATAAATGGTTACATACATACAATATATGTGATGCTCAGAAAACAACAAATCAAACATATGGTTTCCTAGCTTCAAAAGGAGGCATGGATGCCATGTTAAATGCTAATATCATCTTTATTAAAATAAATATTTATTTAATCAATGTATTAGCCCCCACTAGGGGAACAGCGGGAAACCCAGAAATGTATAGCTGGGTAAGTCGAAAATACCTCTAGAACAGTGTTGTTCAAACTTGGCAACTTTTAAGATGGGTGGACTTCAACTCCCAGAATTCTGGCTGGCTGGGGAATTCTGGGAGTTGA